ATTGAATTTTCACACTCATTTTGAAAAGTTGACTTCCTAAGTCTGCTGTGGTGGCTCATCACCCAGACAAGCTCTGATTTGTACTTGGAAAGTATAATAGGACTGAACAATTATTGGAGGACTGTGCTCCATAGGGGGTTAGCTGTTGGTGCTTAAAGTCAGGCATGTGGTCTGATTACATTTTGTAGTTCTCATATAGCCTTCCTTACTGCTGTCTGACCCTTTATTTTGCATCATCATAAGCAAGATATGTGGTACTGAAAATTCCTCCCCACTCACATTGCAAGTGAAGTAAGGTTTCTCTGAGGTGGTTCATCTCATCAAACCAAGCAAGACTTTGAATTAATATAAACCCAATCTCTTTCTGGTTTTCAACACAGAAAATGGAATGGGTTTGGCAGAGGCCAGAGGAAAATGAGCACTATTGAGCAATATTATTGCAGCACAGGTTTGCAGCCAATCAGTACCCTTTCAGTGCACTTTGTAGGAAGAAGGATACAGGAAAAGGTAAGACAGACTTAATGAAACATAGAAGAAAAAATCCAGTCAAAAATCGGACTCATTTTTATTAATAGATTTTGTATAATCCCACTATGGTGTCCTGCTGCTAGTCCCTCTGATATCTCCACTCACTGCAGTAGTGCCCTTTTCATCATAGGAGTGGACCTTCCATCCTTATAACTACTATAATGGAACAGTGGTAACTAAAGAACACAAAGATTTGCATAGTCAGTCACAAACAGAGCAGGTGGGAAATGTAGTTTATCGTCTGTGAATTTTTGAAGAAAGTATTTTTTAAGTTTTCATCAATATTTTTCACTAATTTTTTTTCTGGTTTTCATTACCCGAAAACTGAAAAATTTTGGTTTTCAAAAACTGAACACCACAACGTTTTTCTTTTTGATTGCCAAAAACTGGGGAAAAAAATCAGAGTTTTGTAATTTCAGATTTTTGATGAAAGCAGAAATTTTCTTGTGAAAATTTCTATTTAGCAAAAGGGCATTTATCAGCAAAAATATTTTGGTGACTTATCAACCAGCTTATAAGCATGTGGCTCCAAATTCCTCCCTATAACTTTTCTTTACCTACCAGTCCTTACTACCCGGCATGGATTAGGTTGATGGTCACCTGTGACTACTGAAACTACTACTTATGCAAACCCACTTGTTTCTACTGTTACCATATCCATGCACTTGCTTCCCCCCCATTTGTCTGCTTATTCACATGTACCTTATTGTTTAAATTCAAGCTGTGAGCTTTCTGGAGCAGGGATTGTCTGGATGAGTTGCTTGTATGGTGTTTAAAGGTTTAATCTCTGTTTGGGAATTACTTTAGGTGCTACCACAATAGAAATTATAATAGTAGCTGCTGTATCTTTTTTAGTGCATTTGGTGCATTTGAACTAGAAATGCTGTCCTTCTGTTACCATTAGTGTTGTTATTGTTATTAGTTATTTGTTTTAGGTAATGCCCACAGTGTGCTATGGAGTTTCCAAATGCACAAAGAAGGTTTTATAACCTAGAAGAGGGTAGATTTTTGAAACAGCACAATAGTACTACCCATCCCTTTCCTCTCAAGATTTCTGTAGATCTTCATCAGTAATGCATTCTGTGGTTTTCAGGGATAGTAACAAATAATTTAATGAATAGGAGAAAACAGCCCAACAAATGATGGTCAGGTGAGTTGCTATGTTCAGGAATTTGGCCTTTACACTTCTATGGCTAATAGGAGGCAACTAAGTCAGGAGAATAGATACAGAGTTTAAAGCAGATAGAACCAGGAGGCGTTCACACCCCAACAGCCAAGCAGAAGAGGGAGTTATAGGAGTCAGTTGCTCCCCACATGCCAAGCTAAAGAGATGGGTGGGAGTTCTCCATCTGGCTTACTAGACAAGGGAATTCTACATGCCCTTCCTGCTCCCTCTTATTACCAATCTATTGTGAGTGATAATTGTCACCTATACATATTGAGCCAGGTGCTCAGTGGATGTAAGTCCCATGTGGCTCTATTGACTTTAAAGGCACACAACAATCACACCAGCTGAGGATCCAACCTTTAATCATTTAATTATTTTAGATGTAACATATGAACCAAGCTGTATATAGAGGCCCAGATCCACAAAGGTGGTTAGGTAACTAAGTCCACGTTTTAGGCATCATTGCAATCCACAAACCTCTGCTCAGCTGCTGCCTAACCTGTAGGAGCCTAAAGTTACTTGGCACCTAAATTTTCACTGAAAAAGTTTCCTAGGCACCTAACTTTTCTGCCTATGAGCAAGTGCACTGCTGCCTCACTCTAGGCATCTGGATGCCTATCTCCTGCCTAACTCCCAATGCTTCCATGAACCAGGGAAAGATAGGGGGAGGAGCACCTATCTCATCCACAGGGCTCAATCCAGTAGGTGTGTTCAGAGGCTGCCTGCTGGCTCAGGTCCTATTCAAAATCTGGCCAGAGAAGGAGTGGTGTTGCCACCCGTCTTATAATGAATAACCCATGGGGTTGGAGCACTCATGTGGGATGTAGGAGACCAGCTTTCAATTCCCCCTTCTGCTTCCTGGTGAGAGAGGATTTGAATAGGGATCTCCTATACCTCTAAGGAGCATGCTTTAACCAACAAGCTATGAAATGTTCTGATGTGGGGGCTCCCTCAGTCTCTTATAGGGTGACCAGACAGCAAATGAAAAATTGGGACAGGGGGTAATAGGATGCTATATAAGAAAAAGACCCAAAAATTGGGAACTGTCCCTATAAAATTGGGGACATCTGTTCACCCTAATCTCTTACTGAAACTGTTCCACTTTGGAGAAATACTTAGTCATTGGAGCAGAGTGATTGGACTCTGGGTCTTCTAATCATCAGACTATAGAGTCATTATTTCTCCATTATTTCTCTGAAGTGAAACAGCTTGTACAGGTGAGAATGAGGAAGCCCCCACATCAGATTGTCCTATAGCTCAGTGGCTAGAGCACTCTCCTGAGAGCTGTGGGAGATGCCTATTCAGATTTTTCTCCCTCTGAGCCAAGGAGGCGGGGGGGAATTGAACCTGGGTGTCTCATATCCTGGCTGAGTGCTCTGACCGGAGGGCTAAAAGTTAAAGTGGTCACCTCCTCTTCCAGCCATTTTGTGCAAAGTGAGGCAGGCACCTAACTTTCTCACAAGAAATGGCTTATGCACCTAAGCTGCCTGACTCCAGGAGAAGAATTCCTGGTTGGGGATCTCTAGCAGAAATAGGGGCCTCTCTGCAGCCTCCCAGACTTAGGAGCCTACCTCTATGATCTTCCAGTGGCTAGTTTAGACAGTTCCCAAACTAGTATGCTAGCTTTTGTGGATTGCATTCTTAGGCCCCTCTCTTTCCCCATTCATTGCATAGGAAACTTAGGCACCTAACTGAGGCATTATGGATTACAGTATTGTTCCTGAGTATAACCTAAAAGTTATGCTCAGTGTGGCAGCACCTAAGTTCCTTTGTGGATCCAGGCCAGAAAGATGAGATCTTCCTAGCAGATACAACTGGCTGAATTTTAAAGAGAACGGGCCAGATTCACTCTCAGCTAAACATGTTCCAAGCCTATAAATGAATACGGTCCATTATGTGTAAAATAAAATGTTTTAACTAAATGATATACCCACATATGATACTGATTTGGTTGGTATTCATAGGGCTGTACACCCTCCATCTGCCTAAGTATCAATATTTTAAGTGCATATTTTGGTAAATTTTAGGGTATGTAACAATATAAATAAAATCAAGTGTAACAAACTCTGGCATGCATAGAAATTCCGTCATGGGATTTTGTTTAAATGCTCAAAAATGTTTTGTTACATCTGGAAAAATATTGAACCAGATTTAACCCTGAACAAGTGCATTGCCAGAAAAGCTGATTTTAGTATCTTTACAGCAATTTTTGGACTGTCAAGAGTGAGTGCTGGAGAGTCAAAATACTAACATTGCTGCAAAGGTGTTTAAAAACTGTATTTGCAAAGGAGGGGGTGAGGGGGAGGTTTCTAGTCCAGACTTTTTGCTAGCAAAGATCATGGTTTTAAATTTATAGTAGCACCTGGATGGCCCAGTCTTGATATGGATGCCATTGGGTTCTACAAAAATATAGGGTGAAATTCTATACTGCTCCTGTAAGAGGCACAGCACAGAACTTGCAGCCTGTGAGGAGGGGAGATAAGGTAGTATGCCGAAGTGACCGCTGGCATAACTTAGATAGCCCTGAGGGGCTAACAGTGTTACATCAATTTGTTCCCAGCTGCCTTTGGGCAACAGTGCTGCCCACAGTCTCCACAGCACTACATGCTGTGGCCCTGCCGCTACCACAGCCTTCCTGTCCCTGTCCGTATGCCAGGGCTTGAGACGAGGTCCTCGGAGCACAGCCAGCTTCCTCAGTTCCTATACCAGGGAAATTCTCCCCTAGCTGGATCTGGGGCTTTTAGAGCCAATCTGCGCTGCTCTGACCTTTTTACACAGTGTAAATAGGCCAAAGAGTGGGTAAGAATCTCACCCATAGCGAGAGACCAAGCATCTTACAATATAATTAATACTAGATGCAACAAAATGAAGGAAATAGGGGAGGGAGGATGATGATAACAGTGAGGGAAACGCAATGACATTATCTATACTGATAGCTGTTTGAAACAATTTTTGTATTTAAATAAATAAATATCATCAAATGTTGCTCCCAGCAGACCAGGACAAGTTAATTCTGGATGAGAATTTACCAGTCTTTGTTTGTCTGCTAAGCTGTGAGACAATACTGAAATCAGCCAGGGGGCAATGTGACTAGAAATATTTTTATGTGCTCCATCATTAAAATAATTGGTATATGAGTTAAGCAAAAATGTTCAGTTATCAGTCCAGCTCCCAGAATTTCAACCTCCACAGAACTCCAATCAAAGTCAATCTGGTAGAGTCTGATGCAATGACATAAAAATAACAAATATTCTGACTAACCCCAAATTAAACTGTTAATATCTTGTTATGTGTTTCCTTACAGCTGGCTGCATTAGAGAGGCAGATCTTTGACTTTCTTGGCTTCCAGTGGGCTCCTATTCTTGGCAATTTTCTACAAATAATAATTGTCATATTGGGTTTGTTTGGAACCATCCAGTTTAGGCCTCGATACATAGTTGTGGTAAGTCTCTCTTATTGACTTTGTGTTCATAGTAGGCTTTAAAACAGGAGTCAGCAACCTTTCAGAAGTGGTGTGCCGAGTCTTCATTTATTCATTCTAATTTAAGGTTTCGCATGCCAGTAATACATTGTAACATTTTTAGAAGGTCTCTTTCTATAAGTCTATAATATATAACTAAACTATTGTTGTATGTAAAGTAAATAAGGTTTTTAAAATGTTTAAGAAGCTTCATTTAAAATTAAATTAAATTGCAGAGCCCACTGGACCGGTGGCCAGGACCCAGGCAGTGTGAGTGCCACTGAAAATCAGCTCACGTGCCGCCTTTGGCACGCGTGCCATAGTTTGCCTACCCCTGCTTTAAAACCTCTTAAATTACAAAACATATATTTTATGCCTGAAAACATATGAATGATCCTTTCTGCATTGTCTTTTAAGGTCTCCAGTTATCCATCATTTTGAACTTATGGCCCAGTAAATGAGATCTGGTTTTGAGGTATAGAAAATTATCCAGGGCAGTAGGTTTCAGAGTGGTAGCCGTGTTAGTCTGTATCAGCAAAAACAACGAGGAGTCCTTGTGGCACTTTAGAGACTAACAAATTTATGTGGGCATAAGCTTTTGTGGGCTAAAACCCACTTCAACTGATGAATGAATGAATGAATGAAAAAAATGTCTACTGGGGAAAATCATTAGACAAATGCTTTAAAAGCTTCCGTTTTTTCTAATCAACTGTTGATTCCTGTAATTTTGTGGAGTTTTTTTGTTTTGTTGTTGTTGTTTTTTTTAAGAAATAAATGGCCTCCCCTGAGAAAAAACTGGTCTGAATGTAACATCTGATGAACTGGGTTTTAGTCCACTAAAGCTTATGCCAGTGGTTCCCCAACTTTAACAACCTGTGAACCCCTTTCACTAAAATGTCAAGTCTCGTGAACCCCCTCCTAAAAAATGAATATTTCCAGGGATTTTCTCCTTTACCTGAGTATAAATTATAAAAGCAGTGAACTTGGAAATATAAAATTTGTTTTTATGACAATCTTATTATTAATTATTATTTATCATTACAGTATTTTTATTACATTATGAAAACGGCAACACTCTTCCAAGATCTCACTTTCGTAGCTTGTATCACTTTGAATAAGCCTGTTATAGGACAAGGCTCCTATGTTTCATCAAGGAGTATCAGATGTGAAACAACATGAAGGTATTTAAGAAGTCAACTCAAAGAGTTCCTCCTACACAAGCATTCAGTCCAGGCAAACAATGCATGTTACAACAAAGCTTAAACTTGTTCTTCATAATAATTTTAAAAACAATACTAGCTGCCTATTTAATTTTAAAAACAGCAAAAAATATCCACCACTCTTTCCATTTCTTATAAGGAGTCTTGAAGTTTAAATCTCCTCAGTGTGATAGATATGCTTGCTTTGATCTTCTTAGCTCTTGGAAGTCCAGGCGCTCTGTGCTGCTGGCCCCGTGCTGCCCGGGGTCCCTAGGGACAGCTCTGTCCGCCATTAGGGAATTTTTTCCCGAGAACCCCCTGTAACATTTCGTGAACCCCCAGGAGTTCAAAAAACCCAGTTTGGGAACCACTGGCTTATGTTAGTCTCTAAGGTGCCACAAGGATTCCTCGTTGCTTTATCCAGGATAGTTAACCTGTAGAACTTACTGCCAAAAATATAATTAGGATTGGCAGAACTCAATTCTTATTTTTTTATAATTTCAAAGGATAATATCTATGTTTATTTTTAAGCATTTTGTTTTTTTATTGATTAAAATGTTCACCGTTATGCAAAATTATGGGGTTTAAGCATTTATTTAATTTTTTGCAGTTACAGGAAATTATGCATGGGCAGACTATGGGGGAGTGAGACAACAATTATTTAATGACAATAGTCGTTGAGATTAAAAACGGTAAAGCATTATAGCCGTTAAAACACAAATTGTCAACATCACATGTCAAAATATCCAAAGTAAATATCCTTAAATCAAACTCTAATAAGTTCTCAGGCAGCACTTTTCTTTCTTTGCCTACCTGTAAATTTTGATTATTATTGATGGACGTATTTTTTCATCGGTCTGTGCGTTTATGGTGGAATTGATGTTTACCAACATTTACTAATCAATATCTAATCCTTCCATGCCTAAACACAATTAAGGCCAACATCTCCATAGGATTCAAAAAAGGGATTAAACATTTATATGGATAATGAGAATATCCACAGTTAGACTAGACAGAAAAAAAAAAACCTGAGGGATATAAATTGTCATACTTTTAACCATAAGCCAACCTGTAACTGACAGGAATTGGGGAAAAAAATTATTTATGGGCTAGTTATTCCACAACTGTCCAATATATAGTTTCACCTTTCTGTTAAACAACTAGTACTGGTGACTCTTGGATCCAAGATATTAGACTAGATGCACCTCTGGTCTGATGCAGTATGCCAATTCCTGCATTCCTGTGATCATAGAGAACACTGACTCCTGAGATGACTTTCTTCCAGTTGTCTCCAACTTTGCCAATAGCTGTTATATATTATGGGTCTGATCCTAAACTGGTATAAATTGTCACCAAGGACCTGCCTCTGATGTATGTAACTTGAAGTCAGATATACTACCTCTGAGAAACATACATTCTCAATCCAGCCAGGAATCAAAAATTCCAATGCCACTTAAAAAACTACTTCCCCTCAAATACTACTGCCCTCACCCCATTGGAAAGGTTGAATATTATATTTTTTTTTACCTGGCAGCACTTGGAATCTCTCAGTACTGTTGTTAGCAAGGGATTTTGAGATGTAAAAATAGCTTTTCTCACAAAAGAATGAAAAAAATGTCTACTGGGAAAAACCATTAGTCAAATGCTTTAAAAGCTTCCGTTTTTTCTAATCAACTGTTGATTCCTGTAATTTTGTGTTATTTCTAAAAAAAAAAAAAAAAAAAGTGGCCTCCCCTGAGAAAAAAGTGGTCTGACTGTAACATTGAGGTTCTTTGTACTCACTTTTGTTAAACTTCATGAACATTTATAAAGAATTTAGAAGGGAGTGATAAAAGTATTAGTCTGCACTTTTATCTAACACCTTCCATTGGAGGATGGTGCTTTACAGACGTGAATGCATTACTCTTCCATTACTTTGCCCATTTCAGATGTGAGAAAACAGGCACAGAGAGATTAAGGGTATGTCTACACTTGGAGCTGGTGTGGGGGGGGGATGGTGATTCCCAGCTCGAGGAGACACTTACATTGTCTCAGTGAGAGCTAGAGCGCTAAGAATAGTAGCATAGCCACAGTAGCATGGTTGGTGGCTCAGGCTAGCCATGCAAATTCATGCCCATCGGCTCCAGACAGGTCTGTACTCAGGGCAGCTGAGCTAGCCCCTCTCGCCACTGCCGGTGCTACTGAGACTACACTACTATTTTTAGCGTGCTGGCTTGATGAAAGCTAGAGCGAGTATGTCTCCTCGAGCTGGGAATCACACCCCCAGCCCTAAGTGTAGACATACCCGTAGTGTCTTGCTCAAAGTTACACAACAAGTCTGGGGCAGAGGTAGAAATAATCCCAGATCTCCTGACCCTCCAGTCCCAGCACTAACCGTGCATTTTCCCCTGTTAAAACTCTTTCATTTTGTTCAGCATAAAAGATGAAACACAGCACATTAACCAACTGTTCCTTTATATTATTTTTAGTGTAAAAGTACATTTTAAAGGTAACATTTCTAAAAAAGTTGTTTTATAATTAGAGATGCAAAACTCCATAAATAAAAAGGTTTGAGTCCTTGCTCTGTCTGATTCATATAAAGGACTGGAACCTGGGGTTCCAACAATCCAGGAGAGCGCTGAGCTATTGGCTAGTGGGGCTCTCTTACTCTCCCCTGTTGGAGCTGGTCCACTTGGTGCAATAATTAAATATTCAGTAGGCCAGCAAGAAACTGATTCTATAGCCTGATGGTAGGACATTTATCTGGGATGTGGATGATACAGGGTCAAGTCCCTGGCACACAACAAGGTCTTGGATCAGTGTCTCCCATATGCTAGATGAGTGATTGGCTGTGCTGGGATGAGCTGTTCTCTGTCTCTTTGGTTTTGACCGGAAATTCCATTCTAAACCTGAAAAACATACCCAACAAAAGTGTAGTCAAAATGAATACATTTCAGTGAATATTTCCCGTTTTGATGAATCAGCATTTTTGACAAAAAGCTGTTTTGACAAAAAAATCCTGCCCTGATCTACCCATAAAGCAGTTTGTATGGACTGTCATTGTCTGTGTGCACTCTGGTATTACTTAATTTATTTACTCAGTCTTTACTAAGACAAAACTCCCAATGAAGTGACAGGCTCAGATTCTCAAGTCCTACATAGCCTCCCCCCTGTGCTTCCTGGGGCTTTGCCATTTGCAGCTGTCCCCAGATTCCTCAAAGGGATCCACAGTATGGAAGCATGCAGTCAGTTACTGCATGCTTCAGGCTTGTTCATATAGCTCCGGGCTGTATTAACTTGTGATATGTTCCACTGTGAGCTAGGCAAGAGACAGTGAAGGAGTCCAGCCCAAGGGATGATGAGGTTTGCCTGTCAGATTCTGAGATCTGATTATATCACAGTCCAAGGCCATAGGGGTAAAAATGAAGTTTGCTGACAAGCAGACTGATTATTGGCAACTCAAAATCTGTTTACTGCAAATATATAATAAGGGCCTGATTTTCAAAGATATCTAGGTGCTTAAAGATGTAGCTAAAGACCTAGTGGGATTTTCTAAAGGGAGTTAACCACCTAACTCACTTAGGCACTTCTGAAAAATCCCACTAGGAATTCAACTGCATCTTTAGGCACTTTAATGCCTTTGAAAATCTGTCCCTAAGTCCCTTAGTGATAGGTATTACACATTAGAACAAGGACTCAACTCAACTGACTTAACAGAGGAAATATATTGAATCAGGCTTTCAGAGTCATCTTCTCTAATTGACTCAAATCCAGGAGCTGACTTAATCAGATCCAGTCTAACTG